CTGCAATAGCGTCGCAACATGGCAGAAAGTGCAGTTCAATACATTTTTGTCTTGAGTTTTTAGTGATTTAAAGTTTCTTCTTTAGTGTTTGATACTTATCATGGAGCAAACTCCAACACGTACTACTAATTACACAAGCAAACGAAGAAGGAATAGCGATACATGGACGACATTCCTCATAAAAAGCTAATATAATTTCGTGTTATTTACTAGGTTAGGGTTGGCACCTATTTGATTTTACTATGTAAATATAATTACACGGATAAGTCACAAAAAATATTATAATAATAATATTTATTGATTTGTTTTGATAGTTACGGGTCCTGCCCGTCGAATATTGTTTCATGATTAAAACATGATCTTTATTATTCTGTTCTCCTCTTAACATTACTGGTCGGTATTATACATATAACTACTAATAAGTATGTAGAAATATAGTTTTTTTATTTAAAATTTTATTAAATAGGAGCGACAGAACGTACAATAGTCCATTCATTATGGTTACTTCAATTCAGTTGATTTTATTATAATATTCCATTGTCGTAATGGCAAACACATATTATGATATCTGCGGCTTGATAAAACCTGGTCTTTAGTTTCTTATTATTAATTGATTTTTTATGTTTAAGTCCATGTCATTAAAACCATAAAAGGAGATTTTATTCAAACATTGTGTGATTGCTTAAACAAGTTTTGTTTTTTACTACGAAATAATGTTAGTTATTTTTTTTATTTTAAATAATTGGATTTTAGTTTCAGTCTATTATTTGTTCTTTATTTCTGTTAATTTTTAATAAAAATATTAATTAAATATAACAAACTTTAATTTTGACAACCCTGTTCATACTCGGCTATCATAACATTTAGTTCGCGTCAAAGGCGGCCATATTTACCAAGATTCGGTTCAAAATCGGCCATTCTAATAATTTACTATCAAAGGCGGCAATATAGTAATTTTATTTTATTATTATGGTGCCTGTGGTTCATTTTGCGCAATGATTTTATGTTCATTGACATTCATCATAACTATAAATTGTTGTGAAATGTCAATTATAAAAATCCTCCCTTAAAGACGAGACTAAACAGTTTTTTTTGATTTGCCAAATATTTGATTCGCCCTACTTTGCCGCCTTTGATACTATACGACTCATATATAGATATAAAAACAGTCTCTGTTCTAAATTCAAAACTCGTAACCCTTCCCGATGTTTGTTGTACGTAATTCCCGCGCTAGGACCGCGAGTGGCCGCGCATGCGTACGGTGCGGCGGGCGACGCGGTAATGGCAGCGCGGCACATGAAGTTGGTCGCTAAAGCGACCAACTTCATGGTGTTAATTTTTTGTGTTACAGATGCGCGCGCATTTTAAAATTTCACCCTCATAATTTTTTTATAACGCGCCTAAAGAAGTATAACTTCAAAAAAACTTATATAATTCGATGAAATCGAACCTAAATTACTGACTACAATACCAACTTACTAGCTTTTACATAAGCGAAGCTATTCTACTCTCGCCCAAAAACCAGCTTTCCAACTTCAGCTTGTAGTTAAATATACTTAAAATTTTATACTAAGTACATTTTAAAAAAAAAACATCAGAAGTACACTTAGGAGTATGAATCGCTCCATTTCAAGTCATAATCCACATTAAAGTCATAGGGGCCCCATTATCCTGCCCAGGGCCTCCAATATGTTAAAGACGGCCCTGATTGTCACCCTTTGCAGAAGTACAGTTAAGCAACATGCGAATGGAATAGCGAAATCCTCGTCTTCATCCTCACAAAACACAGAAAGAGATTAGAAGAGCCTTGTGGGCGGGGCAGGCGCTCAACAGTGATGTGTAAGCAAACGCTTATAGTTATAACGCAATGAGAACCAAAACTTGGTTTTCATTGGGTCGTTGCCCTCGGGTGTGAACGCTGTTGGTTCGATTGTTTGAAGTCGCCTCGTTTGATTGGCTATTATCTATTAGGGGTAATTGTAGTGGGGGTAGGTAGGGTTACTATTTAAAAAATTGAAAAGTCCTGACACAAAGCCGGACATTTCGATAAAAGTCCGGACATTTTAGTCACAAAATGCAAACATCACCCACTTAGTTACAGTGATATTATACGCGTGGTAGCAGACGCTCGCATCGCGAGGCGGGTCTCGTTGTTGAATCTTAAAGATGATTTATATTATGTTTTAAATTAATGTGAACTTAATAAAGATCATTTGACTTATTTGATATAAATTTTTTTTTCTAGTAAACTTTTCTTTAGATTAAACATCTAGCAGTTAAATGCTTAAAAAATAAATAAAATCATAACTATAATTGCTATTTCTTCTTTCAAATGTTTATTGCTTGAAAAAGTATTCATTTGACATTGTGGGTTACCTACAATGCGAAGAGATGGCGCTGCCTTGCAGCTTAAGGCTAGGAAAATTTCGAGGCGGCTAATAGGGCCGTGGTAGCATAATGGTCAGTGCATTCGCCCGGATAGCGAAGGATGCGCGTGGTTTTTTTTTTCTAGTAAACTTTTATTTAGATTTATTTGATATAACTTAATAAGTAGTTTTACTCATATTCCATCTAATTTAAAAAAGCCGGACAAGTCCTGACAAAAGGCAAAAAGTCCGGACATGTCCGGACACATCCGGACGGATGGTAACCCTGAGTGAGGGCGAGCCGGCGACATCGGTTCTCGTACAAACGGTCAATGTCCCTAACCTCTTTCTGCGTTTCGTGTTCATCCCACTATTATTTAAATAGTTTTAAATGTCGTACAGTAGGACATTCGATCCCAGAGCGAACGTGCTTTTCACTGCGTCATCTTTTTGTAGCATCGAGCATCAAGCTCTCCAAAATAAACCTTTTTGTAAAGGCATGTTTTTGAGGACCTCTGTGGCGCAAGTGGTTAGTGCGTTCGGCTGCGATTGTTGAATTTAAGCAACTTTCTTAGAGGTCGGTCATTGGATGGGTGATCAAAAGTCTTCTATCTCGAGTTCCTCCGTGTTTCGGAGTCCCGGCTGCATCTGCAGTCGTTAGCACCCGCCAATCCGCACTGGGCGCGCGTGGTGGTGATGGCCCAATCTCCCTATTCCATCCATAGGGAAAGGCTCATGCCCCAGCAGTGGGGACATTAGTAGGCTGATGATGATGATGTTTTTTTGAAAATTAGCTTATGGATTGTTTAGGACAGGAATGAAATGGGCTGAGAGATTATAGTCCAAGAGCCCACTGCGAAATATCTACCCGAATCGGACTTACGGACAAATCGTGTACGATTCGATGGGGAATGTGGTCGTGATAGGGTTGCCGGACATGATAAACCCTGTATCTTGACCGAAGGGTCGAAAAAAGGGCCACTTCCGGTCAATTTTTCGGGAGCCTGCTACCCGGATAAAACTTACAATCAAAATTAGTGCCAATCGATAGGGGATGTTGAGCACTTTAAGGAAAAATCGGGTTGCCACCCCCCACCCTGTCAGGGGTTGCGGCAGCCACCCTTAAGTGTGACCCATTTTCCTATTGCTCTACCCGGATCGAACTTACGATTTTTTTTTTCCAAATCGAAGCTTGAACTTTCCCCAACACGAAAAAATAGGGTTGCCACTTCTGACCTTGACCAGAACAGCCGTCAGCCAGCCCCGAGTTACCCAATTTCGAGGTTCCAATTTCGATCGCAATTTAACTACCCGCATCGAACTTACGATTTCTTTTTTTTTTAAATCGAAGCTTGAATTTCCCCGAACACAAAAAAACGAGGTTGCCAACTTTGGCCTTGACTGAAAATTTTTCTGCCAGTGAATTATGGCGTCAATATTAATTTATTTTATTTTGGAGCAGATCGAAACGAATCATGAAAAAACATTAGAAAATCAGATTTTTTTTTTTTATTTCATTTTATAATTCGAAAAGAAATCGCTGTTATATTTCCCATCGGATATTTCCAGTAGCAAATTTTTATATTTGATGTTCAAATCTTGGAGGTAGAAGACTTTTTCTTTCTTAACAATTTCTTCCTGGATGAAAATGGAAAAGACTTCAAAAGCGGTATTGTGAATTTGTCTTGTTCCATGCCAAATCCCTGCATCTTGATCGTTCTGAACCGATTTTTCACACGATTTGTAAAAATTCAGTTTGCAAATTTTGTGATAATTCAAAACATTGCGACCTAATAATTTATTCAGCAATCGCGTGTCTTCCAACTTTTCTGCAGATTCCTTCAATCGATTTAACGTTTCAGGGCAGTTCGATGTGATTGTTTGAAATCTCTTTCCGCCTGCTCTTTTCACCGCGATCCCTTCTACCTGGGAATTTTGAAAAGACCCCATAATACATGAGGACGTAGCAGCTGCTGTCGTTACACTGTTGCCACGATCTCAACGCTTCGATCTGCTCCAAAATAAAATAAATTAATATTGACGCCATAATTCACTGGCAGAAAAATTTTCAGTCAAGGCCAAAGTTGGCAACCTCGTTTTTTTGTGTTCGGGGAAATTCAAGCTTCGATTTAAAAAAAAAAGAAATCGTAAGTTCGATGCGGGTAGTTAAATTGCGATCGAAATTGGAACCTCGAAATTGGGTAACTCGGGGCTGGCTGACGGCTGTTCTGGTCAAGGTCAGAAGTGGCAACCCTATTTTTTCGTGTTGGGGAAAGTTCAGGCTTCGATTTGGAAAAAAAAAATCGTAAGTTCGATCCGGGTAGTGCAATAGGAAAATGGGCCACACTTAAGGGTGGCTGCCGCAACCCCTGACAGGGTGGGGGGTGGCAACCCGATTTTTCCTTAAAGTGCTCAACATCCCCTATCGATTGGCACTAATTTTGATTGTAAGTTTTATCCGGGTAGCAGGCTCCCGAAAAATTGACCGGAAGTGGCCCTTTTTTCGACGCTTCGGTCAAGATACAGGGTTTATCATGTCCGGCAACCCTATCACGACCACATTCCCCATCGAATCGTACACGATTTGTCCGTAAGTCCGATTCGGGTAGATATTTCGCAGTGGGCTCTCCGACTATTATATTTATTTATTTAATACATTTTCGTCAATATAACTCCACTTTCAGAGTTCAAAAGGACGAACTCCCCACCATTTTTGATCTCGTAAACTTCGCTCTCTCTTACGGTAACTTTTTTATCATCAACGATATTGTCCACGATTTTTAGGTAAACATCGTCGTATTTAGCACTAACGCCATCTCTCGGCTGGTCGCCACAACTTTCTTCGCATGCGCTACTGCCATCTTTCGGTTGGGGTTTGTCAACTTTTTGTTTGCCGTGCTTCGCGAGCAAGTGGCGTCGTAGTCCGCGAGCTCTGGTATAGATGGCGCCACATACATCGCAAGGATAAGTTTGAGAACGCTCGTGAACAGATTCGACGTGCTCTTCTAAACTTATCTTGTAGCCGAACCTTTTACTGCAAATTGTACACTGCAAAATATAAGAAAGTACCATTGTTACAAATGAAAAAAAAACTATGTTTTATAATATCCTATTAATTTTCCATGTTAAATAATAAAATAAACATAGACTGCATGTGTTTTCAGTTTGTCAGTTCTGTACCCTTAGCACGAACCAATATCGAATTCGAATAGTTTGATGATATTGTCAAATTTTGTATGGAAACTTGAACAGCAGCGCCATAACGGGCATTGCGTGAACTACAAATTAGTACACATTTGACAATGACATTTCGCACTTGCAAACTATTTGAATTTTATATTTCATATAAAAACCTATTACAATATTGGATAGCTTTAAATGTGAACACATTAAAAAGTCCTTCGGCCATCGGCGGCTTTATTTGTTACCTGCTATTTTTTTTTTATTTCTGTTGTTATGTTTTTCTTATCTTAGACTTTTTATAAAAATATTTATTTATATAAAAACTGCAAACATTGGAAAGGTAAGGTTTGTTGATAAAAACCAAGCCTGTAATAATAAACAACTTGGCACCTACCACAGGTTTAATACTTAAAAATACAGGTATTCTAAAATACTGGGCAAATTTAAATATTCTATACTTAAATTGTTTCGAAAATAAATAAAAAATTATTGAAAGAAGAAAAAAAACGAGCTATCTGTCTCTTGCAAAAAGTTACAAAATTACGGATACCTTGTGTCAAATACTGTTAAATTTTCGTTTCACATCAAGTTTCAAATCAGAACGGTGCTAATGAAGTTTTCACTTCAAAAAATCTACACTGACCTCGAATTTTTTGTCACCGAGATGCCTTCGGCGATGCGCTCGCAGGTTTGAGCTAGAGATGCACCGCTGCGGACACAGATCACAACTGTACGGCCTCTCTCCAGTGTGTTTCCTGTGAAACAAATAATACATACCAATTTATTTAGTATACACCCCGGCAAACTTCTTGAGAAACGACCATAGACAAGAAAGCCTGCGCAGGAAAGGTAGAATTACCAACTTTTTTTCCATCAAATATAGCATTTGCGAAGCTGTTACCTCTAAAAATAATATATTAGATGGCAAAAAATGGAAAAAAAAGTAGTCTGTGGTTAAAATATATATATATATATATATATTTGATATGTATATATTTTTGCTGCTGTATGCCTTAATAATCGGTTTTGGTCAAACGCCTTGCCTACTAAGCATAAAAAAAAACAGTTTTTTTTTTAAGACTGAGCTAAGCTTTAAGCTAAAAAAAGTCTGCTTTAAGCAAAATATAGTAGTTTCACCTACATATATATTAATATAGTATTTGATCCCCTAATATAGTAAGATACTATATTATATAGTATGGTTGGCAACCCTAAGTATAGGTAACAGCAAACTTCTTGTGCAAAATCACAGAATGAACTTGCGCAGTAGAAAAATTTTGGATGTAAAATTGCTACAGAAAAGGCTTCCTAGTCTAAAGTCAATGATCAACAAGTTTGCCGGGGTGTATGCCAAATTTACATACACAAACGTCTGCTGCGCAAGTTTGTCTGTGGTTTTGCTCAAAGAGTTTGCTGCTACCTATTCAACTGGTTCATGAAATAAGGGGCTTGAAGGCGCAAATGGTTAACGCGTAAGGTCTGCTATAGTGGAAGTTAAGCAACTTTCGCAGTGGTCGGTCATTGGATGGGTGACCAAAAATTTACTAACACTGGGTCCGAGATCATGGCCGAATCTACTACTGGTTCTTGAAATAAGGGGCTCGATGGCGCAAATGATTAACGCGTTCGGTCTGCGATAGTGAAAGTTAAGCACCTTTCGCAGTGGTCGGTCATTGGATGGGTGACCAAAAATTTACTAACACTGGGTCCGCGATCATGGCCGAATCTACTACTGGTTCTTGAAATAAGGGGCTCGATGGCGTAATTGGTTAACGCGTTCGGTCTGCGCTAGTGAAAGTTAAGCAAATTTCGCAGTGGTCGGTCATTGGATGGGTGACCAAAAATTTACTAACACTGGGTCCGCGGTCATGGCCCTATCTCCCTATTTCATCCATAGGGAAGGCCTGTGCCCCAGCAGTGGGGACATTAATAGTCTGATAATGAATGAGGAGCGGTACGCGAGTCATCAACACCTAACACACGGGAGCTACATGAACCAGCCAAGGGGTGATCCATAAAATACTTCACACGTTAAGGGGGTAGCAGGGTGTCAACTAGGTGTGACATTGTGTAACAAAGGGAGGTGTCCTAAGTTTCGTGACGTCACATTTTAAAATCTAATACTTTTGAACTATGTTTTTATTTTTTAAGCATTTAACCGCTAGATGTTTAAATCTAAAGAAAAGTTTACTAGAAAAAAATCCACGCGGACCAGGCAGCAAACGGGACTCGAAACCCCTTCGCTATCCGGGCGAATGCACCGATCATTATACTACCGCGGCCCTGACGGCCGTGTCTGCCGGGTGCTGGTGCTGGTACAATTTTACTTAGCCGTGACGTCACCACCACGAGCCTCCTCCCAAACTTTGATGCGTTATATCTTCGACAGATAGACAAAACTAAGCTTCAATTATTTTTTGATAATCGACCAGACGGACACAACGTTCCTATGGCCAGCTACTGACATACCCGTCGCAGGGGCAATCTAGGGCGCACGGCGGTTTGGACAATATCGGCTTGTCTCTACACACATAGGCCGTATACAGAAAGAAAGCTGGTCCTTACTGGTAACAGTTACATAAAGGAAGCAGATTGAAGCTAGTTGTTCATTATGGCACTTTGCAAACGGCGGGGCGGAGCGGGCCAGTCAATTTCGCTGCGAACGATAGCACAAAGTGAATCCTATACTACAAACGCACACAGAGGGCAAAAAGACCAAGGCATGTCCGCGGCTGCCCGCGGTGGATCATACAAACCAGTTTATATGCAGTAACGCAGACGGCGGCTCGGGGCGGCTAGCTCAGTCCGCGCCACGCGCTTTTTAGTGATGGACTATTCACTAGAACGAACGTCCTGAACTGACTGCCTTTGCCCGTCGTGTGCTTTGTGTACGCGGCGAGGGCAGACGCGGTTTTTATTGCTTCGCGGACAAAAATCCGCCCCGCCCCGTCGTCTGCAAAGCGCCTAATTTCAAAGGGGGATGCCAGGGCTGACCAGCGCGTGTCGAAGATTGTCGGAACTTGTCGGCGACGTTCGGCGCTTATGCCTGCGCCAGTTACCTGCGCGAACCGGTTCCTATAAGCGCTGGTAGGCTACCAGCTTCCTTTCTGTATACGGCCATACCTGCTTATCAGTGTTCAGATATTTATTAAGCTAAACACACGCGTTGATAAAGTGATCCCAGTATTATCAAAAAATCAAAAGATCAGTAGGTAGGTTTGGCTCTTTTTATAGTGTTAGCGCAAAAAAGGAAATACTGGGTGAAGAATTGGCAACTAAAAGAAATATATTGTAAACAATTAATGTTTGTGTTTATATTTTTCAAAAAAGACACGAATATTTTCCTAGTATAACTTTTTGTTTCTTAGGTTTTCACGCACATCACTCATTAAATAAAACTAGTTTTTCGTGTTTTAATGCACGAAACTTTATTTATTTATTGACGTTTCGCAGCCTTTATAGGCTGCTTTTAATTAAAAAATTGATTCAATAAATAAATAAAGTTTTGTGCATTAACCCATGAAAAACTAGTTTTATTAAGTATCACTTTCTTTAGATTTAAACATATAGCAGTTAAATGCTTAAAAATAGAAAAATATAACTATAATTGCTATTTCTCCTTTCAAATGTTTATATACTTGTAAAGGTATTCATTTGACTTTCTGGGTTATCTGCAATGCGAAAAGAAGGCGCTGCCTTGCAGCCTAAGAAACACTAGAAAGAATTCGACACGGAAATCAGGGCCGCGGTAGCATAATGGTCAGTGCATTCGCCCGGATAGCGAAGGGTGCGGGTTCGGGTCCCGTCTGCTGCTTGGCCCGCGTGGATTTTTTTCAAGTATAATATTCTTAATACTTGTGTTCTTTTATCCCACATGTGGGGGCCGGTCTTTATATACTTCTATCACTCGTGTCCAAACTTGCTCATTATGATCTACCAGCATCTTAATCGAAATACGTGCGCTCCGTATGACAGTTACCAAGCAACGGATTGAGAAATTGCAATTGAAAAAAGGGGCAATCCGGGGACCAAGGATGATCTCGCGCCCCAGCTGCCCTACCGCAGGGCCAATCTAGAAAATTTCTCTTGCTTGCCTAAACACATCAGAATTAAGGATTTAATTCAATTTATTGCACTCATGTGATTACATAGATAGGTACAAGTTAAGGCCAGGAGGCAATGAAGGGTCATCCTCACTCTACACCCTAGATTGCCCCTGAAGCAGGTATGTGAGTAGCCCGCATATGGCAATGGCTGAAAGTACATTTATACATTCAGGAATGATACCCAAATAATTGAACTCATTCATACCTAATGTGTACAGTTAGTGAGGACTTCTGTGAAGTCCTGTATCCACAGTGGGGGCAGGCGTGTTGTTTTGTGCCTGTGTGGGTCAGCCTGTGCTTGTGTAGATAGTCGTGCCTAGTGAATACCCGTCCGCAAGTCTGAAACAAGATGTTAGTATAACAAACGACATAACATGTGTCTACATGAACCACCACCACTACCACTTGGCCACGTAGGTTGTCGATATATTTTAACTACCTGATTAGGCGGACTTCATAGCACACAAAAGTAAAAAATTAACCCAAAAATAAATAAGAGGTCCCGGGTCCGAACCCGGTGGGTGCAGATGTTTGTATGATGAATACAAGCATTTGTACTCCGACCATGGAAGTTTAATATGTATGTCTATAAAAATATACTTAAATATGTATCAGTATTATGTACTCTATCAGTTACTCTAGCATCTCATATCAGCCTACAGTGCTTACTTTGGGGTTAGGCTAATTGGTGTAAGTGTGGGAAATACTTATTTATTTATATATTTATTAATTAAGACACTTTTCCAAAATGGTTATAATAGTCTATTTATTAGTGGTACTCACTTCGCAAACATAATTTTTCTTCAAAGATTCATGTTCAGCCATGTGCTCCGTTAAACATGACTTAGTTTTAAAGAGTTTGTAGCATTTGAAACATTGGAATATCTTCTCTGGCAACTTTACTTCTGGGCGTTCTCTATGGTCTCTCATGTGTGCTTCATACATGTTTCTTCTAGGTAAAAACCTATTGCATTTAACACATTTGTAACCCTCCTTCAGACCTTTACAGAAATTGATTTCATGAGAGAGTCGCGCCTTACGAGTTCTGAAACGCTTCTCGCAACCAAAGCATTTGAATAAGTTGCCTTCTTCGATGCCATGATTTGATGCATTGTGACTGACCAGATTCTCTTTACTCCCTAAATCTGAACGGCAAATGTTGCAGTATGTGGGAGACCGTTTCTGTTGATACTTTCTCTTTTTTATAGTTAATAAAATCTTTTTTTTGCAACCATTATGAATAGATTGTCTACTTTGAACATTACAACTTTTTAGAGTGGGTAACTTTTTATTCTTCAAAGATTCTTTTTTTAAATTTTCTACCACCTCTTTATCGTCATGGAAGTCATCTATTCTGGTAGGTTCATCTTCACTTTCTTCTTCTCGACAGTTGTCTGTGAAAACACTGCTAAGAGAACAGCTTTTTGACTCCTCTTCTGTTTCATTAAGTTCTTCAGTCTTAAGAAATTCACTTTCCCCCTTAACCTCATCAGAACAAGGTGGCAGATCAACATTATTACTGTTATCACAAATTTGAACATCAACATTTTCAATCTTGACCTCACATGGTATTGAGGTGTGAGTGTTTACAAACCCATTACTATTGCAATGATGCGAATTGATGATTATTTCTTTTAATTTCCTATCTTTTTCACGACAAGACTGCTTGAATTCATAAAACTCATTCACTTTGAGACAACACCTGTCGCAAGCTTTCCTCGGTAAGCAACTGTCGTTAAATTCTATGCCCAGACAATCCTTTATCTTGTACACAACTTCGTTTTTGCGTGATTTCCTCTGTGCCCAAGGAGTGAAATTCTTCCAGCAAAGGCTACAGACGTTTTTATCACGAAAATATTCGTATGTGTACGCACGGTCAACAACAAGGCTAAGCGACGTAATATTCATTTCATAAAGTCACAATCAAGAGCAATTTATCGAGTTCTCATTCATTTAATGTATAAATAAAACATGTTTACAATTTATTTTATCTTGATGTACAATTTTTTTTTGTTGTTATCATTATTCTTTTAAGATTCTCCTTTTTACGGAAGGCAAAGGGAACAATGCCCATACAGGCTAGTCTTAAGTTTTATATTGATGTCGATTCTAGCGTGATTCTCTAAACTTAAAATGAAATTCAACATCAGTCTCTCCTTTTCATTCTGTATAAAGAATGACAAGGATACACTGTTGCCAAATTTAAGTTTAGGTTTAGAGAATCATGCCAGAATCGACATCAATGTATCTTTGTCATTCTCTATACAGAACGAAAAGGACAGACTGACGTTAAATTTAGTTTTGAGTTTAAAGAATCCTGCCAGAATCGACACCAGTATCTTCTTTTTTACATTAGAATGTCGGTGTGACTCATTCTAATGTTTTTTGAAGTGTTTGGCATATAATGTATCGAGTCAGCTTTTTCGATAAGCTTCTGTGAGGTAGTCAACACTACAATAAAGTTCTCACGTCCACTTGACCGGAATAGCGTATATTTTAAAGAATCAATTAATTATTCAGTTGTGCAGATGGTTGTAATGTAACACAAAACCACTGAAATTTTATTTCACATGTATCATATTAACGATCTGATATTGATTAATTTAAGAATCGATTTTTGGAGAGCGATTTCATAAATCGATATGTAGTACTAAATCGATTCAGTGAATCGACATTTCACCCTTGTAAATCGACATTCGATATTATTTTATGTTTTGGTATAAACCAAAACAGTATTTAAAATTAATACAATGTATCTTATATAAACAAAAAAAAATATAAACAAAAACTATAAAAAAGATCGATTTTTCAGAAATCGATCTTATTGGCCGCGATTTTTTTTTGTGGATGGATTCATTGGGTCATGATTCGAATTGATTTAAAAATCGATCTTTTTCGGAAAGAATCGTCATCCCTACCCAGTCAATAAGGTTTTTTTTTGGATGCTTTTCGACTTCCGGCACTGTCAGGGTTGTCATTTCGAAATTTTAAGTTACCATGTTTTGGAATAAAAACTGCAAAATTGCCGTGTACATTTTTATTTATTTTAAAATAACACGATAAGATTAAACATGACTTAAAAACATTATTCTTCAAAGTCAGTATACAAATTCTTATTCATCTTTTTTCAATATAAAGTATATATTTTTTTCCATCATATTGTCTATCATTACTTTTGTTGGTTTGAAAATACAATTTTCTTGGGAGCGTATAAAGTACTTAGCTAGAAAATTTTTATTTCTTGTTGTTATATATTAAAAGGGTAGCAAGAAGCATCGTTCGCCTGATGGTAAGCGGCCACGATAACCTATAGGCGCTTGCGATTCAAAAAATATCACTCGCTCTGATACTTAACCTGACCCATTCCCCTACCCCTTGGAGCCGTGCCCCTCTAGCGTGACCATCGGAACGGAATATGATTATCTTTTTATCGAGTCTCAACTGTCAAACTCCACTGTGGTCTTACAGTTAATGCCGATATATCGCTTTATCATTTCCCGTTTCGGTGCTCATGCTAGCTAGTGCGGGGCTGGAACATTATTCACCGACAGAAACACAACACCACCAAAAAGATAGTGTTATTTTACTGACATCTTCGCAGACGAATTCATGTTGAGTTATTAAATTGTCCAAAAGTTATCCATCTCCTATTTGTAACTTATCGGGAAAAAATTTTAACTATTGGATTGCCATGTTTTAAAACACAGCAATGAATATATTGCCGTGTACTGTGTTTTATTGCTGAACAGATCCAAATCCCGTGTAACGCGGCAATTGCCGTGTAAATGGCAACGCTGGTCACTGTCTGTGTCAGTAGGGAAGTCCGTAAATAAAATACCAGACCAGGTTTTATTTTTTAGGTTTCAGTTTAAAATATATTGAACCCGAAATACTTGCAGCACTTGCAAGGGTTTTGTAATTTTAAAAATTCTTCATTCGTACGGTTAATAAAAATGGTTAGGCACGTGGGCTAAAGGGGAAAAGTTGGCATAAATCGCGTTGCTGAGCAATTTTAGACTCCAAGGCGCTAATGCGTTTCTATTTATCACTATATCAACCTACTAGTGGCCTGCCCTGGCTTCGCTTCGCTGTCGACTATAGTTTTTATTCTAATACCTTTAAATAGGCCATGACACTTTACAAATAACGTCGATTTCTATTGTTAAAATAATTTTCAAAATCGGTTCCGTAAATCGAGAAATTTTATTACTTAATAATATTATTATATATTCACATATAAATAAGATATCATATTGATATGAAGAGCTCAGTGGTGCAAGGGGTTAGCGCATTCAGTCTGCGATTTCTCAACAGTCGTCGGATGGCTGACCCAAAATTTATTAACTCGAGTATTGTACCTCCGTGTTTCGGAAGATACGTTAGGTCGTTGTTACCTGATGCATCTTCGGTCGTTAGGATCCACAAATCCGCTGGGCTCTCGTGGTGGGTCTTGGCCAGGGGCGTATACTGAAATCTGGCGCCCCGGCCCACAAGGGCGGATCCAGCTTTGGCGCCAGGGGGGATCATATAGTCGTGGTCAAGTCATTCCATCCATAGGAGAACTTTATATGTAGCCCAGCATCGGGGACATTAAAACAGGTTATGATTAAAAAAAATACATGAAGGTTTTGTATTCCCAGTCAGGTGCGTTATAGGTAGCGGCCAGTAGCGGCAAACATCTTCCGCAAAACCACAGACAAATAAACTTGAGCAGAACTTGAGTCTTTTGTATGAAAAATTGCTACTGCGCAGGTTTCCTTGTCTATGGACGTTGCTCAAGAAGTTTGCCGGCATGTAGACCCTTTAAATAAAAAAGGCCTTATTTTTAAATAAAAATATTTCATTTATTCGTCCAAGACAACTAGAATTAAAAATTACTAATACAATAATATTCAAGACTTCAACTCATTTCTTTAAGGAAAATTAACATAACAAATCTATCATGCTGCGCTTTTGCTATAAATTTCAATAATTTATAAATTATAATCATTTTATGATCACTGTATGTCGAACAATACAGAATAGTTTGTTTGCAGTTTCAGACAGCACGTATCAAGATACGATGCGCACTCTTTTTCCGGAATATCACTTACCCTGAAATAAATAAATAAAGTGAAACAATAATTCACTATTTCTTCATATAATTATTTAGTATATTGCCCATAGATGAATGATTGGTTTCGCTTCACACGAGTGAAGCGAGACCAATCATTCATTTGAGATATTGCCATAATGTGATGACCGAGATTCATATAGAAATATTAATAATGATGAAATTTGCATTACGTTGAATATTATTTTTTATGAATACCTATTTATTATTATTTAATTTTATCAACTTAATTTTGAAATACCCTTACAGGATCATGTGCTATAACTAAGAATATACTCGTATATAACATCTGTACCCCTAGCACGCACGAACCATTATCGAATTCGAATAATTTGCGAGTGCGAAATGTCAATGTAAAATTTTGTTTTACTTATAATTTAAATAGAGTTAAATAAAACAAGTTTTCAACGGGTTAGATAAATAAAACCAGTATAGGTTTTATTTATTCATAGACATTTTGCAGCCTTTTCAGGTCTGCGTCGTCTGAATGACAGATTCAGACAGATTCAGACGACGCAGACCTGGGGGCCAATCGCCTAACGGAAATGCTTTGGAAAACGCTAACGCTTACGATTTTATTTTGTTATTTCTAGCCGCTTGAGGTATTCAAATGCCTCGCACTCTTTCTTTTTCTTTTGCATTGGTAATAACAATATTAAAAAAAATGAGCGTGAGGTATTCGAAAACCTCAGGCGGCTAGAAATAACAATATAAAATCGTAAGCGTTAGCGTTTCCCAAAGCATTTCCGTTAGGCGATTGGCCCCCTGAAAAGGCTGCGAAACGTCAATAAATAAATGAAAGCAGTACATCTGACCCGTTGAAAACTTGTTTTATTTAATGAATGATGTGCGTGAAAACCTAAGAAAAAATTATTATATAGAGTTTTACTTATAATTTAAGTATATTCAAAAAAGTTATTTTAAAAAAACGTAAAAAAAATGTTAAAAAATTATTGGACGATACTTAAGAACAATCGACAAGACGACAATCTTTTTTTGATTAAAAAAAAAAGATTATTTTAGCACATTTAAATAAAAGCTTGTTCTTTTATAAGTTTTTTACCTTTGAATTTACTTTTTAATTATCGCTGGACCTAAACGAGGGCTTCAAAACCCCCATATTCTCAACAAGTCCTCATCCTCAGTTATATTACAATCTCCTATAGTCATGTTCTCAAAAAGCTTAAAAAAACTTAGTTCGCCATCTTTTTAAGCCTATATTGATGTCGATTCTGGCATGATTCTCTAAAGCTAAACTTAAATTTGACAACAGTGCATCCTTGTCCTTCTCTATGCAGAATGAAAAGGTGAGACTAGTGTTAAATTTAGTTTTAAGTTTAGAGAATCACGTCAGAATTTACACCATTGAATTTAAGTTAACGTCACTTTATTTTTCGTGTTATTCTCAGCAAGCCCTTTTCATTTTATACCCATAACACAGGAGTGCATCAGAAATAAATAGTCCGTACTATTTTTACTCAGACGTTCCTTAAATACTTACCCCGCACTGTCTGCTTTCTCTTGTTCTGAGTCATTGCAGAGGTAATACTTGACGCATGTGCCCTTTTTTCCTTTCGTAACACATTCAGTTTCTGAAAGAAAGAAAAGGATAGGCGTGATTATCAGTTTTTTCATAATCCTATTCATCTTTATTTGCAGAATATGCTAATAAAACAAATGGTGATACACAGAGAAATATTCTTACCCAATGGGTGTACAAATTAATAGTCATCATGAGAAAAACTTATTACATTAAAGACCAAGGGAGCTAAAGTTGTAGGGAAGTTCCAATGGGTAAAAATGACGTTCCCTCCTTAGTGAAGGCTTGTGCCCAGCACTGGGGATATACACAGTCAGGTCGTAAGTATTGTCACATAGTAAAAACTTTTCTTTTAGAA